TCTTCTTAAGACAGTATTAGGCAGAAAGCAATAAATCTTGATAACGAGTATCTTAAAGACAAAATGGCAGAGTCTCTGCCACCTTGTCTTTAAGTACTCCTTTGCCGCAGAGATGGAGGATAGGATTTGCCGTAACAATCTTAGGTTTAAAGGAATCGAGGAAACGGAAGAGGAAACATGGAAAGGCAGCGAGGAGAAAGTAAAAAAAAAGTTATTTTAAGTAAAGTTAAATGTAAACGAAGAAATACATAAAGAACGAGCACACCGAACAGGGAAGAAAGAAAACAACAACGGTTTAAGGAAAAAAAAAAAAAAGAAAAACGATTGTCGTAAAGTTTCTTGATTACAAAGATCGTGAAACTGTATTATAAAACTACAAAAAGTTGAAGTTATGAAGTGAAAAAATTTATATTAATAAAGGCCTCAGTGAGCGAACAACAAACATTCGTAAGCAGTTATTTATTAAGCTAAAGTTATTTCTTTTTTTTGCCCCTGTATCTTTATTTATATTATATTTTACAATTTGAATAAGTTTATACATTTTTAGTAGATTGGGATAGTTTTAGCAAATTTAAGAGCATCAACAAAAATTCTGTGCTTTAATGAAAATTTCTGTATATAAAACAGAGGTCTGATTAGGCTAATTTTATTATGACTATATTACTAGATATTTCAGCATATCCTGGTAGTTTTTTTTTTTTAAAGAAGAATATGCTGCGTCAAGTTCTTTACAGCTCAAATCATCACCGCATAATATGGCATTACTTCGGGAATTTAGGTATATTTTGAATGATTCTGATTTTGGTATTGTTTTGTTAGCAAGTTTGGGACCAATATTTTTAAAAAATTTGAATTCTTTTTAGATTTTTGATAGAAAATACTAATATTGTTGATATAAACTTTCTGAGGTGGTAAAGATTTTTTTTATCTTTTTTGTCATGTTGTTAATTATGAATCATGTTTTTTTGATGTTAGACTAGATTTTTTAAATTATTATATTTTTATGGTACATGAATCTAAAAATCATGAAAACATGTTTTATTGGTCCATAAAGTATAAAAATATAGTTTATTGGTTCATAATATATTTTAATAATCCACAATTCATACTTGTAAAATAATGATAGTAACTTCCTAATCGGCACAAATCAGAAAAAATTACGCTTCGTTTCTGTTGCGTGTTTAAAACCCTCTAAATCAAAAAGAATAATCCCGGTGGGAAATGAGCTAGCGACTAGCTAGCGACTAGCTAGCTCTATAGCAATTTTCTAGCGATTTTTTTTTTCTTATTTTATTTTTTTCAAATATCTTTAACATTTTATCTTTACAAATATCGATAGCTTTTCGCTAACTTAAAAAAGCTAGCGATCCTCGTGGCCAAATCGCTGTCTTTATCGTAACGATTATAGCTAGCTATTCGCTAGCCGATTTCCCACCAGGATACGTGTAAAAAATAGTTTTCATTACGCGAAATTAGCTTGTACTATATACCATAAATACCGGTAAAAATATTAATGGTTTTATTGTTACGGAAACGTAGTAAAATTGAAATAAGTTTCCGTAAGGTATGTGAAACCATGGAAGTATAAAACGCATTGAAATTCTTCGAAACTATGCTTAAAACCTTTTGTTTCGTAAACAATGAGAAAACGACATCAAGACTGTACATAAACGCCTAATCATTATTTGTTGACGCAAATAAAAACGTTTGTAATAACTTAAAAATATAGTATTTTGAAGATTTGCCAATAATTTTAAGAAAAATATTAAAAATGGCGCAACAAAACGGCAAACAACAACTTTTTTATAAACTTCATTTTAAATGAATGGAGTTCTACGAGAATGAATGGAATTATGATATACATCTAATGAAACTTTAAACTTTAGTTATTTAGAAAACAATTTTTTTGATTTTAAAAAATTGTTTTAGTCGTCTTTTTAATAAAATGTTGTGTTATGACTTTAAACAAGAAAAGAAGCTTAAACTAACATATGCTTTTAAAATTAAGTGGTTATATTTAATTACCGAGTTTTAATAAACCTTTTGCTGAATAGTTGAAATTACTAATGATTAAAACTTTGCAGCATATCCCTGGAATAATTTATTTTTTGATGTTTTAATAAAAATCATTTTAGTGAATTTTGTTGTTTTTTTGTCCAGTGAAACTTGTTTTTTATCGGTTTCAAGCATACTCCCGAGACGACTTGAAATTTTTTTGATGTTTGCGGCTCGATGAACTTCCATCTGTTTTATACTACCATGGTGAAACCACTGATAAAAGCAAGCGATAATTAAATTTGACTTTAAAACCTCAAAAAACACGCGTAAAACTTGAGTAAAACTGCCCGTAATATACGCGAGGTTTTGGTTACGCTTGGATTTTGACAAACACATGTCTATACAGGTTTTAGTTCCAAAAAAGAAACTTGATGTGCTTGTTGCGCTTTTAAAGTTAAAAAATTAATTTGATAAAATAATAAATTTTTTACTTGGTATTGCGAAACATTGGCAGATCCATTCATCAAACTTGAAATTTAAAACACCTAAGGTTTTGTTGTTACTTTTTCTTTAGTTAAAATATTACTGGTGCAACTCTTTTGATTAAAAATTATGCAATTTAAAATATTTTGTTATGTCTTTGTCATATCTAAAGTAATTTCCTATTTAAGATAACTATGATTCCGATTCAATTTTGTTTTTCATTTTAACTCGATTTTTTTTAATTATACTAATTCAAACTAAAATTCCAGGAAAAAATCTGTTTATACTTTCATGTTTCAAATTTTTCATCAAACGAACAGCTTTGATTTCATGTACTTTTTAAAAGCTTAGACTTTTAAGCTTGTTATTTTTAATAATAACCGATTGTTTGCTTTTTGTAAACAAAACATATAAAGAGCATTTACGTGTGTGCTGTACAAAAAGATTTACAAATATTAATACTATTATTTAAAATAAAATAAAAAAATTTTAAAATTTTATTTGAACTTTTATTAAACTTTACTTAAATCGCAATAAAGAACTTGACGTTAGCAATATTTAATACAATGATTAAATACACAGTATAACGCAGAGAAATTTATAACTATACTAACTTCTATATATCTATCTGTATATCTATAAATATCTATAACTAACAGATTCCGAATTTCAACTCAGAAATCCAAGCTTAAAATATAAGCAAGGAGTTCTGAATCAAGACTTTAATTACTGCGTTTAATGTTTTGTGATCTTCGATATAGAAAATATTATTTGTAGATTTGTATTAACGTGAGCTATGCTTAAAAAAAATGAATTGCAACTCGTTGAAAATATCAGCTACTTCAATGTAACTTCAGTAAATTTTACTTGACCTTTTCTCATAAAGCAATGCATTATGGTATTTGTATGTAAAAACTCGCGATTTATAGTTTTTTTATTTCTTCATTATTACATGGCTCATTATAATAGTTTTCACTGTTATAGTTAATTACATTTACGCCAAAATCTTTTATGAATCTTATTATCTCCGCCGGAGAATATCTGCATTGTAATATAAACAACTTATTTTGACGCAGTTGTAGTTAAATTTCGTTAGAGAAGTTTGTTTAAAGTATATTTTACAAGTATACATTAGTAAGAGAATATATAATTAACTCTGTAAATATTCCTTCTGGATCTAGCTTTTTAAAAAGCCCTTAGCATTTGACTAAATGCAACATTTTGTGTAATTATTATAATTTAACAGCAACGAAAACAAAATAATCTCTAAAGATGTAATTTAATGGTCATAAGATCAGATTTCTGTTTCCGATAACACGTCAGCATATATTTTTTTATATAGTATCAGACTATATTTTGAAAGAAAAGCTGCTAAATATAAAATAGTTGGTTATCAGTTATTCAAATAGAACTATTTAAAACAAATTAGAGTTAAACCAAATATTTTATTAAATAGAATTAAACCAAGGAATGACAATCGCTGTGTTAATTATTGAAATTAAATTTGGCCAAAACCATTTTTTGAAATACTTACTAACGAGTAAATAAAAAAATGTTGAAAATTTTGGGCCTAGTTATATTGGAAAAATTTCTATACTGTCTGGACCAATTAATTAAAACTAATTTGACTGAGGAAAATTAAAGCTTGCCATAATTTTTATCAATATTAAGAAAATAAATCAAATTAAATCAGAAACAAAAGAACAATACAAAAACATAAATGGATTGAAGAATAAAATAAAAAACTTACTGCATCAAATTTTGGTACAGTTATAAACCGTAGAAATAATACTCCTCCAACTTTATTGGTTATAAGAAACTGTGACAGTAGTTTAGAATCACAAGCTTGTTAGTGGAATATTGAAAATTGAAGATATTATTCAAGAAAGGTTTAAAGTAAAAGTTAACTGTGATGCTAAAAAATGTGAACTTGTTTTAAATCCTAAATGCCATCGCTGGTTCTAGCCCTGATGGGTTGTGTATTAACTAAAACAGCTGCAAAATAATTGAAGTAAAGTGCTCTTTTTTAAAAAGAAATCTTTATGTACATAAAGCTTATACCAGCTAATTTACCAATGTCAAGGTATCAAAGCTTTTAGAGAAAAGAGCGAAGATGACTTTGTTCTATACAAAAATAAGAACTTATTTTGCAATTAATTAAATTTAAAAATGAAAACTGGTTCAATAAGATTTTACCTTGTTTAATTACATTATATTTTCAGTTTATGATTAAAAAATATTTGAAAGGATGTGAAAGTATGTAAAAATTATTATAAGAAATTATTATTTTTTTTATTCTTCAATATTTTCTTTGTTGGAAATTGCATAAAATAATAAATTTTTGTGTTTTACTTAGTTGTTAAAGCATTAAGGTACAAACATGTAAAATCCCAACTTCTTTATTTTGTATTTGATTATAAAGAGTCAAATTAAATTTTTTTGTATATAATATAAAAATAATCATAGTTTAATAATAAACAAAAGCCTAAATTTTGAAAATTATTTTCAATTTATTATACCTTTTTTTGATGTTATGATAAAGTATTGCAACACAACCTTAAGGTTAACTCTCGGAGCACTGTAGAATAGCGTTAGTGAGAAATTTTTTTTCTTCCAATTTTGCTTTCCCCGACTGCAATGGAAAATAAAACAGAAGTTTTGATTTCGATTTCATCACTTAATATATATATATATATATATATATATATATATATATATAATATATATATATATATATATATATATATATATATATATATATATATATATATATATACATATATAAATATATATATATATATATATATATATATATATATATATATATATATATATATATATATATATATATATATATATATATATATATATATATATATATATATATATATATATTTACCAGATACTACAAAATTTCCAAAAAACCAAAAAAAAAATACTCCATAGAGTTCCATAGGTTTTCCGTAGAATTCCATGGAAATCCCATGGAACTCCAAGAAAAACCATGGTTTTCCCATGGCAATTGAAATTCCATGGAATTTCCATTGAGGAATTTCCATGGTGGAATTTCATTAGGAATTGAAGTTCCATGGTTTAGGAATTTCATTAAAAAGTGAAATTTCATTGAATTTCCATGGGTAAAGCATGAATTTTTTACATAGCTCATGTTACACCATGGGTTTTACAAATGCGCGTTTAAAGATGCCGTCATAACTTGTTGAAATATAATCATTTGTAATTTGAGTAAATAAAATTATTTGCATTCTTTTGCTTTTTTGTATTAAATAAGATTATAAATTATATCTTTTTTATAATGCATCGCATTTAATGTGATTTAAAATAAACATACAGACATAAACAACTAGACATAACTGCAATAGCTAGAATTTTTTGCTTATTATTTAGTGTAACCATTTGGTTAGAATCACTCAAAAGCAATTTTCATATATCTTATTAAAAAATAAAAAATTTGATTAAAAACAAAACCTTCGGTGTTCGGAATTACCCTACGTACGTGGGGTAATTCCGAACACACCGAGGGATAATCGCGAACATTATTGGCTAACAGCGAATAAAATGTTGATCAAAGCAAATCAAACTTGATTGAAGCGTTAAAATATTATTGAATAAAACTTTAATTAAATCAAACGTTAAAGAAACAAATATCAATAAATTTTATTCAAACTAAATAAAATATTACATGAATGAAATGTAAGGTGACCTGGATACTTTCTGATACTATAGTATCAGAAAGTGTGTGTGTACTTTTATCTTCTGTATACAGAAGGTAAATGTACGAATTGAATACAAATTACATAAGTGTTTTTTACTAATTTATTAGTGTTCTGTTCTTTATACGCACTTGAGAGCATATATATATATATATATATATATATATATATATATATATATATATATAATATATATATATATATATATATATATATATATATATATATATATATATATATATATATATATATATATATATATATATATATATATATATATATTTATATATATATATATATATATATATATATATATATATATATATATATATATATATATATATATATATATATATATATATATATATATATATATATATATAAATAAATAATGTATAATAACTTTATTTAAGAATCATCCGTGTGTTATCATATACGCTAGAATACTTTGAAGACAATAAGTGTTCGCGATTACCCCACTAAGATCGTTCGTTATTTCTCCGCGATACAACTAAATGAAATTAAACGAATGCATTGAGGTAGTATTATCATACCCTAAATATAATACGTGTTACAAACTCCATGATTATGATACTTTGCAACAACATAAATAAAAGTGTGGTTTTATATACATAGTATAGCCAATACATAAATGTTTCGCAAATAAAAATTACATAAAACTAAGAGAAAAACTTAAAATCAATCTACCGTGAAGAACCTGCGCATTTATATTACACTATTGCACGTCTGGAACTGAGCATGGAACCCACTCTTGTCAGAAAAAAAAAGATTGTCAGCTATCCTTTTCTAACATGCCGTAACGACCTTGTTCGGAGTTACCCCGCGTTCGCCATTACCCGACTCTCCCCTTTATCTTATTCTAGCTATTGCAAATAGCTTTGCTTACTTTGCATAACTTTCAATATAGCAAGTATATCAAGTGAATCAGTTTGATTATTAATGTTTATTAATAATTTTACTACAAATATTTTAGTTTTAATGTACATTAGATAACCAGTGTATTAAATAAGATGAGATAACCAGTGTATTAAATAAGCTTAGATAAGCAGTGCATTGGATAAGCTTAAATAACCAGTGTATTATGTAAGCTTAGATGACCAGTTTATTAGATAAGCTTAAGCAACCAGTGTATTAAACAAGCTTAGATAAGCAGTGTATTAAATAAACAGTGTATAAGATAAGATAATGTACAAAAGATAACTTGTACTATCTTTTTTAATTTTTTTTTTTATGGCTTTAGTTTGCTTAAAAATGTTTGAAGTTTAAAATACTTTATTGCAAGATAAATGTTTATTAACTTTATTATATGATATATGCTATATTCAATTTTAGTTCTGTTAAGTTGTTTTTGTCTATTTGTTGGCGCCACCGTTCTAGTCGAGATAAAAGTATCGCACTTTTATATTTGTTATGCTTTTACATTACTATACTTAATAAAGTTCATATTTAATATATTTATTAGCTTTAAGTAGTAAAGTAAAAATAAAATAAATTTTTGAATTTAATAATGTGTGCATTGAATTTAATAATGTGTCCTTATATTTTAACTTCATCATTTTATTTAAATTACGGCATTATCATCAGATAAGTTTTACTGGCGATAGAAATAGTGTTTTACTTCTTCTAGATAGGTCGGATGAAGAAGTAAGTTTTTTTAAGTTACAATTTATAAGTAATACTAAACCTATATAAATAATACTATATTTATATAAGTATATAATACTATATTTTTATATGTAAGTAATACTCTATTTATATATGTAAATCTTTTTATTTTAACTTTATCTTTTTACTTAAATACATTATAAGCAGGAAGGTTTGACTGGTCAGTGCGGGTTAAAACTTTTTGGGGCCCGGAGCTATTTTTGATTTTTGAGGCCTTTTTATGGCCCAGAGCCTAAAAATGATTTAACCAAAAAAAAAAAAAGTCCTCTAAAATTTTTTGGGGCGCCTAAATTTGCAGGGCCCGAAGCTATAGCCCCCCTTGATCTGGCACTGTGACTGATAATATAAATGATGTTGTACACCATGCAGATAGCTTGAGAAGAAAATTGTTAATATTCTAATAATCATCATTTATAAATAATAATTTTTTCATTGCTACCTTAACCTATATAATTGCTACCTCTAAATAATTGTTACCCAACATTTGGCAACATTTATGTAGAACATTCAAAAAGGTTGTGTGTGAAATGCGAAAATTGTAAAGTAAGGAATTATTTTAAGAACGAAAACTGAAATAGAATTAAATATCAACATCAGAAACGAAAATAGAAGTAAATTTATTTGTTATGAACAAAAATTAGTGAATACAAAAATAAAATTTAACAAAAAAATTTTTTTTGACAATTCATTTACACTTCTATTTTTGTTGTTGCACTTGTCTAACCACCAATCTGGTCACGTGCTCTTTGACTTGTTTGTCAAGCTTTGAATTTCTTAAAAAAAAAAAGATTAAATGTAAGAGTCATCCTCTTACGTCGACGATACATGTAATCTTAATAAATAACCGTTTTCACCTACAGTTTGCACAACTGAAAAACTTGTTGATTTTTTGCTAAGTTTGTTAAATAACAATTTTTTTGGACAAAGAAGGGTCTCATAGCATTATTTCTTAGAATATCTGCGGTTTATATGACACCACCATTGCTCAAACACGACATGTTTTCCTAAAATTGACGGCATTACAGGATCCGCACACAGGTGAGATGCTAGCGGAAAAGTATAAAAAAATGTCTCGACCATTAGTGTATTAGAGAACATCAAGTTATATTGATTGTTTAAGACGATGGGTCTAATAAAGTTAAAGCCATTAGACTATAACAGGAAGAGCACGCAGCCATAAAATCTGACGAGCCAGCTTCTTATAAAACCAATTTGCAAACATTATTGTGCAACTATCTCAGAAACAAGACAAGTTGTATCAAAAATAAGAAAAAAAATTGAGAAACTCATTAACAAGTGTGGGAAATCTGTGATCACTAACAGCACCATAAGATGAAACAGAACATATCAGATGATCAACTAATTGTTGAAAATAAAGTCACAGGTAAATAAAGTTTTAACAGCAGTCTTTTTAAGTAGGTATGTGTTATTATTTATGTTAATAGTCCATACAAGCAATTTTTGGGATTTTAAAATTCCAAAAATTGATTTCTTATCTAAACTAAGAATATAAGAGTAGCAATAAATTAAAAAAAAGTTCAATAGTCATTATTATTAAAAAACAAGACAGAATATATGGTAAAGGTTATATTCTCTCTTTTAAATCATATCACAAAAGCATAGGAAAAGGGACATGGGACAAACGATAACAATTATCAAATATTATAATTGTGATTAGTGAAATTTAATTTCAGATGGTTATCTTAAATTTAGTAATTGACACATTCAAATCAAGTGAATGAATTTGGCTTCAAACATTTCCTCACTTTTAGAATCCTTCTCAGTACAAACGGATATACTTCAAACCTTTACCCAATCCCTTTCCCAGGTTCTACCATCTATACTCAAGTTGGAATGCCATTTGCAAGAACATTCAACAAACAAGACTTTGAAAGCTAATCTTCTTGGAGATCTACGTTGAAGGTTTAAATCAATTCTGCAGCCTGACTCGGCTACGTTTAATCCACATCTATTTGCTGCATGTTTGTTATATTCGATTGTTGCTGTATTTATTCCTACGCCGGAAATGGGCACCTTACTCCATCCAGAAAATATGTATATAACAAGTGTTAGTGGACATGAGTCAGAATTACAAGTAGCTGCCGAGTCAAATAGATCTGAATGTGAACCTGCTGCCACAAAGCGCATTTTATTCTGGTTGAATAAAATCCTTTTAAGTAAATGAATTAATAATAAACAAAGCAATATCACTGTT